CACACACACACACACACACACGTGACTCACCAGCGTATCTTCCTGCTTGATGTTGTCTTCTGAGCTGAGGGAACTAATGTAGCTCCGCATCTTTGGGGTGTCCTTGGGACCTGTGCAGCCAAATTAGTTTCATGTCCACATGCGAGACTTTTGAGTTTTCACAAAATGTTTTCGTTCTCCTCACCAATATTGACAGGCTGGTGACGGCTGTGATTTTAGTTACAAATTTTTTGGCGAACGTTCCCCATGTGACACCTTGAAAATATTCATCTAGCGTCTTTTCACAAGCGTATTGAACGGCGGCGTGTCAGTTACAGGTGCTCGCTCTCCATTTAACACATACCCGAGACGCACCGTATTATCGGACGCAGGCATGGTCAAACGTTTGCCAGCCTAAGAAAGACGCTAGCATGCGACGCCGGTGACATTTGAGTTCCATGTCACATCATGGGGAATTTAATCAAGATTTTTTTGTCTTTGACGATTTAGTCAAGGGTTCCCGAGCTTTGATGTCATCGCTGCTGACCACCAGAGGCGGCACCTAAAGGGAGTGTGAGCATTTGCGTCAAAGGCGGCGAGAGCAACCAACCGGAAGCGTCGAGTCAAAAAGGTGCCGACTCCGGCTTTGCTTTTCCCACCTGTGCTGGCACTGCAGTAGGAGAAGTCGCTGCAGGAGCCGGAGTGTCCCACGTCCACTGAGGGGTCCCACTCCAGACCCAAGTGCTCATGGAAAGGCGACGGCGGCGAAGGACAGTGACGACGATGAAGATGATCTAACAGTGGATGGGACAAGTTCATCTCGCGGCCGTCCCTTCTTCCGCACGGTCATCAGCGTCTTCACTGACCGACTTGTTGTTCATGCTGAGGACTGCGCTCCCGGTGGACTTTGTCAAGCGCTCCCTCCTCCTCAAACAAAAAGGTCTCCGACGGACAACCGGAATCCGGAGGCGGAGTCAGCAGGAAGTCATCCTCAAAGACCTGAGAGGGAAGATCGGGCACGATGAAGACGGAGACGGCAACGGCCAGAGAGACGGCCGGAGAGAGACACGGAGATCGCGGCGGCAGCGACAGACAAAACAGACCGACGGAGAGAAAGACGCGCGCTTGAGCCGGCGCGCCCACCAGTCTCATGCTGAGGAGTCTGGTTTGCGCCCGCGCGATGTTGCCGTAGACGTGACTGCACTGGCGCAGAAGCTCCAGCAGGCGGCGCTCCACACACTGCGCGTCGCGGCCCGCGCCGCGCAGGATCAGAGCCTCGCCGCGCTCCAAAACCCCGTTCACGCGACCGGAGTTCGCGCAAACGCTCCGCTGGAAAGACTGCACAAAGGCACGCGGTCCACGCCGGCGTCCGGCGGCAAAGTCGGTCCGTTTACCTTCCAACACTCGTGCGTTACGCTGTCGGAAAGGCACCTGCAGTTGTCGGAGTTTGTCGCACGTTTTCCCCGTCACGTGTTGGACTCCCGCGAGCCCGACTTCCATCTCGGCCAACCAGACGGCCAGCTCCTCGGTCTCCTCCTCAAACTCTTCCCACTCGCGCACCAAAGCCTGGAAAAAGTCGCGCCGTTTGTCAAGAAGCGCCCGGCGCGCTTCCGTTTTGCTTCCGGATCCGGTTCTGGGACCTTGAGCCTTCCGCTGATGGATTCCAGCTTGACGTTGAGGCGGTCCCACCTGCGGCCGCAGTCCCGGGCCGCGGCTAACAGGCGAGTCCGCATGGCCCCATGGAACAGCGCGGTCAGGGTCCGGTTCCTCTGGGTCAGCGCGTCCAGATGAACCAGAAGCGAGCCTGCCTCGCACCGCAGCCTCTGGTGCACGCGCGCACGCACACGCAGACAAGTAGGCCAATAAATACGGATACGGATACGGATACGTGGAGGAAAGCACAAAACTCAACTGATTTTGAAAACACCCAAAGCTGCAGCAGTGTTCTGTATACATACTGCAAATACAACTCAAAACCTAAGAATTAAAAATGGAGCAACAAAACATAACCCCCCCCCCTGCCCCCCACCCACACACGGACACACCCACACGGATACATACATACGCAAGATGGTGCGTTCCTGACCTCAAACCTCCCGACGTCGTCCTTGGCTGCGGCGTAAGTGACTCGAGTCCAGTCGTGGGAGGCCACCGCCTGCTCGGCCAATCGCAGCCAAGCGTCCAAGTGAGCATGTTCCGTCATGAAGCCGTGCCAGAGCAGCCAACGTCTCTCCAGCCTGCGGGCCGCCACAGGACGTGACGTCGGGACTCGTGCCAAGTGCCACTCAAACTCACCGGTCGCATCCCGGCGGGTCGCCGGCTCGGCCCCAGGTGTCTGTCGGCTCCTCTTGGCTCACGTGGTCTTCGGGCCGAGGGTCGACATGATCCCGGCGCGTGTCTAATCCGGACATGGTGACGTCGGCGCGTCTTCAGCGTCGTCGCAAAAAGCTGCCGTCGCGCCCGGCCGCGCGCTCTCTTCAGCGGGAGTTCGGGCGGCGTTACCTCTGTGGACATGACTTGTGTTTGTTTTCAAGCGCATTCCCCATCGTCCCCTCTGGGACAAGAGGAGATCACGACCGCAATTTCTGACCTGCGCTCGTCTTCCGTTCGCCGCTAGGATAGCAGGGAGCGTGCGAGCGCGCGAGTCGGCTTTCGCGCGAGGTCTCCCATCAGCTATGACTGCGCGTTCTGTGCTGAGGTTTGTCAGCTCACACCCGTGATGTCACTCTTTGATTCAACATCATCGGCTAGGATAGCAGGGAGCGTGCCAGCGCGCGAGTCGGCTTTCGCGGGAGGTCTCCCATCAGCTATGACTGCGCGTTCTGCGCTGAGGTTTGTCAGCTCGCACCCGTGATGTCACTCTTTGATTCAACATCATCGTGAGCGTCGCATTGTCTGAATGACACGCGATTTGCCCGGCAGGTTTGGTCAATCGCGCGCGTGCCGCGCGTCGTGGCGACCGAGACTTCCCTCTCCCTCGTCACCTCTTCCACTTCTCTCCCGGCCGGCCGAGAGAGAGCGCGTTCCCGGTCTTTCCTTGGCTGGCTCGCCAAAATATGTCGCGGATAAACCAACGGCCAAATGAGACGCGGGTGCTGATGGGTACCGCTGGCGTTCTGAACTTGACCTAACAGTGAGACTTTTTACACACGCGCTCACGTGTCACTTCGAACCAGTCGGGTTCCTGCTTGGACAGTCGAAGAAGAAAACCGAAGCACTCACTGTTGGGTGTCATTCAAAAGCTCCACTTTTCTCGCTTTCAAAAGAGAAACAAGATGTATGAAGCAGTCACATTGAGTCAGGTGTTGATCGGCTTTTGACAAAGACCTCAAAGACGAAACCAAATCTGCCCCCCCCCCCCACAAAAAAAAAAGGGTCAGCTCAGAAGAGTGTTAAGTGCCTCAGTCAATTTTGGACCAAATGTCAGTGGAGCTCTCGTGAATTCTTTTGCCTTCTCTGCTGCTGACCCAAATCTGTGCCTTTGTGCCTTCACGTTGATCAGATATCATATTATCTGGGATGAAAGCTGCACAGGATTAGGTTTGAGCCGGGCTGGGACTAACAGGTAGTGATCTCAGACGGAGAAAGGAAGTCAGCAGATCTGCTCAACTCAGACCAAACTCATGGCACAGAGTAAGAACCCTGTGCTCACAAACGGAAGAGTTACGTAAGGCCAGTTTAGCCTCGTCGTTTTGAGTTTGTCATGGACCAGTCACTGCTCCTCCATTCCAAGTTAGTCCAATGGCGTCCACCGGTGTAGGCAGATCCACTTGGATCCAGTCAGGTCCAGTCGGCTCCGCTCGGGTACCGTTGGACCCCTGTGTGTTTCGCTTTAGTTCAGCTAGTCAGATCCAGGCTGGGCCATTCATTGCCCGTTTGAACCACTCGAGTCCAGTCTGGACTAGCTGGGATGGGCGTGGTCGACTTGAGTCTAGTCAGTCAAGTCTGGTGAGTCAGTGTGATCCACTCTGGACTAGTATGGCCCAACGTAGATTGGGCCTCTCTGGATCCAAAATGTTTTGCGAGTAGCAGAAGTGGTGACGTTAAAAGCCACTTGTGTGTGTGATGGCCTAACAAGTTTCTGTATTTCTGGTCACCGGAGGACACATTTAAGACAGCAGGTGGCGCTGCTCCATCGGAGCTTGGCTAGCAGCCACCAGGAGGCAGAGCCGCAACACAACCGACCTTTACTGAGCCAAGGCACTGTCACAAAATAAAAAAAAGACAAAAAAAAATTTTTTTTGGGGGGGGGGGGCTTAACAGGCCAGAAATCTGTTACTTGCGTCTCATTTTCCCTCCCACACATCCCTGGCTTTGTCATTTTTTTTAAATTGAAAAATACATGATTCAAATATTTGTAAATCCAGGACAGTTCGTAAAACAGCTCTTAAAATGACAGTAAAATTTTAAAAAGCCGAAAGCTAAACATAGGACGCAAATCCAAGCAACGGGCTTCTTTTCTGCCGTAGGTCTTGTTGTGATCACGTGACCGGAGTGAGGCCAATCCAATTGGTTGTTGACCGGAAAAGATTTGCGACGTGCCACGGCGTGGCTTCCTTCAAAGTTTGGGCAGCTGACTCCGTTTTCCAAATGTATTCGCGGATTCTCCCCGAAGCCGGATCATAAGAGAGTTTTTTTTAAATTGTAATTCTTTATATGGGCGGCTCGGACCGACAAGTGCGAGGACAGCTTTTCGTGGCCGAGAAGTGCGACTGAAGAGCAAAGCAAAGTTCGCTCCAGATGGATTTTGAAGCAGTTTTCGGGCGTCAGGTTAGCTGCCGAGACCATACTCGAAGGTAAACAAAATCACTTTTTTTTTTTTTTTTTATTCGATATGTGCAAAATCGACTTGTTGTTAATGACTTGAAACTAAATGAGGTTTCCACAGCCTGCTCGGTGCTACTGAAAATGAGCCCCGAGCCGCCTGTGCTGCTTGTCTTCTGTCAGCTTTTTTGAAGCATCAAAATACAGTTTGGACTCAAATTTAGGTCGAATGTGTTTGTTCCTGTTTAGCGGATGTCGAGGTTATTCCTGTTCGATTTCGATATGCGTTTAAGGTTTAGGTACGTGTTTTCGGGAATATTCCACGTTTTGAGTTGACGCTCAACTCACATCAACCGTTCACTGGCACCAAGATGCCATCAGATGGCGCTAAAGCAACAGTGTTAAATTTCCGCTTTTTGCCCGAGTACAAAAACAGTGAGCAGGGGAGTTATTTAGTCAAAAATGCAGGGTTAGGCTCCCGCCCCCCTCCCCAAACAAGTTGATTCATCTCAATTTCCTCCCAGTCGATTTGAAATTGGACCTGAAAATCGGTGCCATTGTCAAATCCGGCTTTTTGCATCTTTGGCAGCTGGCTCAAGTCAAGCTTCTCCTTTCTCAAGAGTGTTTTGAGACGCAGTCATTCGTGCCTTTGTTTGCACTTTAGTTTGGAGTCAGCCGATCCGCCATGAAGCGTCTCGCCTTTTGACCGATACTCATAAGAGGGAGCACATGGCTCCAACTCTGGATCCATTTTACAGTTGTTTCCCAATCTTGAAATGGCCCGCCGGCCCCACCTCACCTCTCTGAGCCGCCCGGTGCCTCAGGTCTGCGGACCGGACGCTAGTCGAGGTAGCGAGAAGCGAGCTCAGAGGCGACGGAGCCTTTTCCGTCGCCTGTCCCTCTCTTTGGAATGAACGTTGGGCAAGCCCCTTCGCTGCCCATCGTTCAAACTATTTGGCTTTTTGAGAGACTTGATTTGGAGTTGGGCTGTTTTTGCGTGTACAAATAATTTTTGCTCCACTTTGCACACGGCGGTGGTTGTTTTTCAAGCGCTCGAGAAATACACTTGAGTGGAGTTGAGATTGTACTGGGTCAGTGTGACCTGTCGGCCAGTTCTCTGAACGGCTCATGTGAATGGCAAGCGCATCATTGTACCTTCTGCGGAAGAGCATTGAAAAAGTAAAAATCGTTTCGGGCCGAGGTTGTGAAATCGGATTGCTTCCCACGCCCCGCCTGATGATCTCTCACTCGGCAACCCTCCGAGTGCATCTTGATTTGCACGTCAAGAACGCACAGCAAGTATCTCGTCTCCTGCCCTCACAATGAGTCCATTGAGCGTGCGTTGCCGTGATGACAAAAGGGGTTGGGAAGCGGGCCGTCGGGGCCCTGGCTGGCTGGCGGTCAGGTGACGGGGCTGCGGTCACACGACACCTGATGCCGGGCCCCGGGGGGGGGGCTGCAAGACGCCCACCATTCAGTCAGTCAGTCACTCGCCATTGTGCTCCGAAACTAACACTGGGCCGCTTGTGCGAGCGCTCGATACTGGAAATCACAATCGGATATCTGTGGCCGACGTGGGTCCTTCCGCACTGGAGGATGACGGTGATCCTTTCTGAAGATCAATAAATCGGGCTCATTCAAATGAAAAATGCCAATATTTTGCCGAGGTCGCTTTGTGAGGAAACGTCCGCCAGGAAGCTGACCTTGTGACCTTGTCCGGACGCAGGTGCGGCGGCTCGGGCGTGGCGCCGTCGCCAGATCGCGAGGCATGTTTGTTTTTGAGGGCGCCGCATGTTAGCCCGACTTGCTCAGGTTGCCACGGCGTCCATTCTAGCTTGTCACTGCGATTGGAAGCCGTGCGACGCGCCGCGTCCCACCGTCGAGCGTGCCGGGAAAGGAGCAACACCTTGGCCCTCATTGAGGTGGCGGCCGCGCGAAGAAGTGAGGCATCCGATTGCAAGGGAACGCGTCGGCGCGCAAAATACACCATCGAAGCTAACATGCTAACAAGTCTTTGGACCGTTGAGTCGAGTGACACCTGTCGCGGTGACCGTTGACGACGGACGGCGGTGCACTTCCTCGCGCGCACGCACACGGCAAGGCACCTCGAGGCACACTGGTTCCCTTAACGTTGGCTCACGCCACTGAATACACACACACACACACACACACACGCCGCTCAACCGCAGGTGTACTTTCCCAGAGTGACCGCGCACGTCGCGCACCCGCAGCAAGCAAAGGGTTTGCACTTGGCAGGCGAGATCTGAACGAGGCCGCCTGGAACGGCTCACCCGTTGGTGAGAAGAGGTCAAAGCAAAGTTACCTGCTGCTGGCCGAGGTCACGCCTGGGGGAGGAAAAGACGTGCGCCGTCCGCGAGCCACGAAGAAGGACGAGGAGCAGGTCGCGTGACTTCAGGTCAACCTGGCGCACACACGGGACTCCTGTGGGCCCCGCCCCCTGCGCGCACCTGAAACCGCTCACGCAGGAAAACTAGTTAACGCCCACTTGACACTCGACACTTGCCGTTTTTTTTCTTCCCGTCGTCCCATTGTTGCTTGGGTGCTTCGTGTTTGCCATGCGGCAGTCATGTCAAGAGTTCGCTTGGCTTCAAACCCGCTTGGGACGCCTGACAGGGCAACTGGGCAAGTGAACTTCAAGAGGATATGCACATCAACTCACTGCAATGGTTAGTCGCTCTGAGGTAGACTTGTCACCTTCGAGAGAGAAAAAAACCAAAACATCTGGAAGATGGATTTTTCCAGAAAGTTGTTTGTGTTTGATGCTCATTACCCGTGACATTTCTTTCATGTAAAATAGTTGCGTTGCTTGATTTGCAAATGATGCAATCAACACGCTCCTGATTTGAAGCTGGCCTTCCTCATGCGCTCATTGGAATGCAAATCAACTTTCATCTTTGCCGGTCGTGACGTCACACACGTCGACATGCGCGCGCACCTGTCACGTCGGTGATGTTGAGAAAGAGAGAAAGCGGGCCTTCTGAAAACAAATCCCTCATTTAAAGTGGAGGTGTGTGTGTGTGTGTGTGTGTGTGTGTGTGTTGGGGGGGGGGGTTGACTGTGACGGACACACCCACACACAAACACGCGACAACCGCAGGCAAAAGTCAGCGGTTGCTTCTCCTGCGGCGACCTCTGCTGGACATTCCCAAGAGTGCAACGCGGTACGCAACTTTGCTTTCGAAGGCACAAAAAGAGCCAGAAGGAATTGCTTCTTTTTCTACCTTACCACTCTGATGTGAAATTGGACTTTTCTTTGAATTCTGTTTCCGGCCGGCTCTCCACATAAGCCACCGACAGGCAAAACGGCAGCACACGAGCAGCGCTCACCGTACCTAATGTATCGTCCTTCCACTGCAAAGAAGCCAATGCGAATTGACGGTTGCCACATCTTGTAGCCGTGGAGCTTTGGAGCGTACACGTATCTCATCGCGGATTTTGCCAGGCATTTCTAATCTCAAAACGGCCCCGAAGTCAAGGCCCCCGTGTCACCGAGCAGCGCTGCACATGACACATGAGAGCTTGAGCTTGAAATGAGCAGTCGGCCCAACGACATGATCCGGATGGAGCGTTCAGCGATTGTTCCCCGATTTGAGTTTTTCTGTTGTCGTTTTGGTTTGGTTCAAGAACCACCGAGCACGCAGGAAACGCCAGTGCAGCGGGTCGAACCTGCCGCAGCAGCGGAGAACAAAGCCTTCGGCGCCCCCCGCCCCTGACGCACCTGAACGCATCATCATCGTCCTCCCGACAAGCAAAACATTTGCGTTTGGCTCAGTCCCGAGCGCAGTCGCGTCTGCGCTCATTTCCGGCCCAAAGTCAGCCCCCCTCGTCAGGTGCTACGGGTCTGGGATGCCCCACAAACAAGTCAAAGGAATGGAGAGGGAATCAGGAAATAAAAACAACACCAACATCAAATGTTTTATTTGGGCTACTATTGACCGAATGGCAGAAGTTGCTCCGATTAGTGGATGCGTTTCCATGCTAAGGACAACGTGAGAAGATGAGCAAGTCCACGGGGATCACAGTGCACAGCATGCAGTCAACCAGAGGAACGCACCAACGCGCACTTGCACATCGGATGGAAAGAAGAAGAAGAAGAACTCAGAACCAGAAGCCCACTTGGTGATGTTCTCATATAATACGTACGCTGTTGTTGTTAGCTTCGGCTTTTCAGGTTATACTCATGAACAATGACGAGACGTCACATGAGCCGGACAGGTTTGGCCGTAGTGATTAAACCACTTTGTCAAATGCACAAGTGAGGCTAAACGGTCGACTTGAAGCGAAGCTCTTCGTCGCCAAGGGGGTCGCGTACCAGCGAGGGGTTGACGTACGCCGCTGGATGGCTCACCAGAGATACGACTAACCACAAACTCGCGACTCACCGGCGGCACCGAGTGGTCAAAGCAGAGAAAGTCGAATGCTGGAGAATGCGCTGAATTACGAGCGGATCCAGGATCGGGGCGAGAGCGGCTGATGTCTCGAGTTGGGACGGTCCAAATGACCACAAGAGGGAACTTTCAAAGACATACTTGCCGAGGGCTCAGTCATCAGTGACGTTCGGAAGGCCTTCGGAAACATGCCGCTTGTTGGAGAGCAAGGAATACCCGGAAGAAAAAAGTTGAAACTTGCTCAAGAGTAAGGCGGCAACGTAAAGGCTGAAGAAGGACTTTTCAAATTGAAGCTTTGGCTCGCTGAGCGGTTTCGGTCAAAACTTGGGATGGCCTTCGACTTGATTTCAACGAGGTCTACGATCTAGTCAATTCCAACAGGTTTCGCGATCAACTCGTGATCCGGTGGATGAACGGGATGGAGCTGCTCGCCGAAGGCCTAACAAAACTTGATGTTCTCTGAGCACGCAGCAGACAAAAAGGATCAACGGATTTTTAAATATCCCCCGCCCCCTTTTCACATTGCGAAAGACGTCTCTGCGATGAAGCTTTCAACTCTCGATCAACGCGCCGGCTCCGCGAGATGGAAAAAAGGAAACAAGCAACAAAAGATGAACACAAAGAGTTGTTGTCTGAAAGCAAACCACTTTGCGGGCGCTTTTGTAGCTCAGAGCACACGCGCCGCAGAGCAAAATCAAAACACGTGGCGGTCGGAGCTAACGTTAGCCGAGCTAGAAAGGCGGGGTGCTAACCACGAGAGAGGAGTTTGTGGGCGACGGCGGCGAGGGTTTCTTTAGCGGGAACGCGGAACATCTGCTCAACATTTCAACAAGGCACTACAGATTTCCAACGGCTAAGCGAGAAGAACGCGAGAGTGCGAGGAAACACTCGAGAAGAAACGTGAGCTGAGAGCGAGGGACAAAAGGCTTTCACCAGGTTGGACAACGACAGTGATGGGTAGCTAGAAGGTTTGCTGGAGGAGGAGAAGGGACGCGGGACGCGGTTAGGACTGCATCTCAGCTCGCAGCATCCACGGGAACCAACAGCAGAACAGCAACCTGAAGACAAGGACCTTCGGTCAAGTTGCCAGAACATTTAGTCCCTCCGGAGGTGACAAATGGTCCTGCACCCGTACCTCGATATGGAGCTCTCGGAGGTCAGATCTTTGGCAGAACGAACCGTGTTGAAGTTTCGCTTGGGCTGAGACACTGCAACAAAACACCAAAAATGCCAAATCCCCTGCCAACCCCAGACCGGATGCGGCTGTCCACCGGGCCCTCGGGGATACTCACTGGTGACTTGGTGGACTTTCTTCACCGCGGAGTTCTGCTCGTTCCGGGAGCCCTCCTTGGGTCCGCCGATCCTGAAGGAACGGCGACAGTGTAAAACCTGACACCTGACTTCACTTGAGCGGGCAGGAAACGCCTTACCTCTGGACCCGGGAGGGTGGGGCAAACACGCCGTATTTGGGGAGGCAGCTAAAGTAGCGCACCCCGAACACGGAGCCGTCGTGTTTGCCGGTGGGCTGGTCCAGCTCCACACCGAACCATAAACCTGCCGGATGGAAATGTGACATGAGCTATTAGCATTCGAAACCTCCGACGTGAGAAACGGACTCAGCTCAATGCTCATCAAGTCCGCCGCGAGTTGAGCCGGGATGGTGCCAGGCACGACGCTGAATTTAAAAAATACATTTCAAAAAGCGGCATGTTTGTTGAGCCTTTTGAGGCCGGCTCATACGTTGCCCGTCTGCAGACTCCACACGGACTGCAGATGCCCACGCGGTTCCACCCCGACTACATTTGCCGTCTGGACCGTCTGGATGTGTTCCACGCACGCAGCCAAAAAACTGACCTGGCGCAAAGTCTGTTTTTCCAAAGAAGCGCACAACGCCATGCTTCTGCCCGGCCACCAAGACCTGATCCCCGACCTCAGCGTTCAGTCCTTCTGGGTCCAGACTAACGACTGACGATTTCTTTTTCAGGGCTGCCAACAGACAACATACACACATTCGTGGGAACTGAACCCACACCACTTGCTTGCTCCCAAGTCAGGCCAGTGTACCACGACACCGCCAGTGACCGGAACTAAAATGATACCCAATGTCTGTCTTGCCTTTCTCCTTCTTCTCTTTCTCTTTCTTGGTCTTCCCGGCGAGGCGCGAGGCCAGGTCCATGCGGGGGGTCCGAGGCGTGGAGGTGACGGAGGAAAGGTTCTGTTCCGCAGACTTGGAGATCTTTGACACCGGAGCAAAGATCCCTGTGGACCGGAAGAGAGAAAACCACGGACATCTTCGGCATGCGTATCCTTCACGGCAGAGACAAAAAGCAGCGGCAGCGCGGGACTCATCGTTACCGAGTTTGGGGGGGCAGATGAAGTAGCGAACGCCGCCGACACTGCCGTCGTTCTTTCCCTCCGGCTCGTCCAGCTCCACGCCGACCCATTGCCCACTGGCGAACTCTGTGGTGCCGCAGAACCTCAGTGTCCCAGTCTGCAAGACAGGTACAACTTGCTGTCGGAAAGGAAGGATGCTTCTCGGAGAAGAAAGCGGTCATTCCGTTGTCGACGCGGGTCCGTAGAGTCGAGTGGTCCAGGATCAGACGCCACGGAAGAACAACCTGTTCGAGGATGCCTGTTCTTGCCTTCTGGAGTAAGTCATCCAGAGAGCCCATGGCGCTGGCGTTCGCACCGATTTAGAGACTGTCTAGTGAAGTTTTGTCGAAACGGGTGAAGAGAGGGAATGCTTCTCGGCAGTCATCCACCGGACGCTTCTCTGGAGGCAAGCGGTCCGGTGTCAGAGACCGGGGAAGATTACCAAGCAAAATGTTCAGGGGACAAAAGCCCGGCGGTGGCGTTCCGACCCAATCGGTTGCGTCGGGATGTGAAGAGACAAAAGCAAGAATGACCATTTCCAGTTGGCGAGGAGAAAACAAGGACCGACTTTTTGAATCTTTGGATTCATGTTGGAAATTGCTTTTGAGTCTCTCGGCAAAAGCCTGCGCGCTACACGTGCTTCTGACCTTCATGTCGTCCAGCACCACGCGCTCCCCCAGCTTCATGCCCAGCGAGGACAGCATCAGGTTCCCGGGAATGTTGTCGTAGTTGGGCAGCGTGGCTCTGGGAAGGTTGCAGCTCAGCGGAACGGCGTCCAGGAGCAGCCGCTTCAGCTCTTTGGCCACCATGGCCGCCTCGGCCTTGTCCAGGCTCATGTCCATGGGGTCGGGGACCACCTCACCGGGGACGTGGCCGTTCTCATTCTGCGGAGAAGAAAAGGGCTGTCTGGCGAATTGAGTTTTGCTTGACGTTTTGGACTCGCCTCGCATTGCGTTTTGATCGGACGACGTTTGGCCTGGCGTGATCTGGAGTTTTGGGTTTTCCTATGTCCCGTCCGGTTGCTCTGGATTTGTCTCCAGCGGGAGCCCTGGCTCGCCGTCCGCTCCCTCCCGTCTTATCTCGGTGTGCCTCGTTGTCTCATCGGAGCCCGGTTTTCATTCACTCGGATCTCGTCTACGTGCAAACGAGTTTGAATCTATCTGCAAAGGCATCGTTTTTTAATCGGGTTCCCAGAGTGAATCGGTTTCAAAGTGCTGCCCTGGCATTTCCATGTCAGCCGCACACTCGTACATTTCCTGAGACCGTGGCGCGGTCAGCCCGGTTCTCACGCGACCCCGCGCGCGTGGCTGACTGCGTCAGATGACTCAGCCGGGCATGGGGGGCTTCCATTTCGATCCAGAAGTTGTCAATGTTGTCAGCCCGCTCCAATTCCTTGCGCCTTTGACATTTCCAGCAAATTTGTCAGAGTATCTTTACTTTGCACATGTTTCTTATCCTCGGTTCTCGGTTACCTCCCGCGGCAGCATTACAGCGACACATCGGGCCTGGAATAAACACTGTTTCTTTTGAGCGGACGTATACGATTTGTTCGGGAAAGTTTTCCCAAAAATGGGTTCCATTTTCACGCTTCCTTGTCGTGCGTCACGTTCTATTCGTGTTTTTGATGCTGTGTTAAAGTAGTTTGTTCATAACTATCCTTGTTTGAGTCGTGAACGGTGATGATTTATTTTCCTCATCCAATCTTGCGTTATCTGTTGCAAAACTCCGCAGAGTAATTCAAGTCTGACTTTGGGGCCATTCGGTGGCATCTCGGTGCCAAGGAATGACGTCGAAGTGAGCTGAAGGGCCTTATTCAGATTTGACAAACAGAAGAAGAAGAAGAAGAAGCTCTGACCCGGACGGTGGGGTTGGCACCGTGCTCCAGAAGACACTTGACTGCACCCAAACACAGGTTGGAGGCGGCGATGTGCAGAGCCGTCCCGTAGTGGAAGTCACTGCACGTGGAGTTCAGAACTGCCGTGCAGCATGAGCGGAAATGAGTTTGGTCGACAAGTCGCTGACCCCGATGATCCGTCGCGAGTCTACCTACCTCTGGGTTTGGCAGCCTTCAGCAGGACCCGGACCAGTTCCGGAACGTCAAAGTAGGCGGCGTAGTGCAGAGCGTTCATGTTGGTCCAACGGCTCCTCAAACTCACGTCGGCGCCCAGCGACATCAGCTGGCTGGTCAGCCGCAGCGCCGCCGCCGGGTCGCCTGTGCGCAGGCAAAACGCCAAACTTTAACACGTGCGCAGAACCTCTTTTGCGACGTTAAAACCGGAGACGACGTCTTACCAACGCCGTGCGCGCCCGCCTTGCAGCTGTAGTGGAGAAGCGTCATGTCCGTCAAGCCATCACGGTCATTCACGTGGCAACCGCGTTTCAGGATCTGGGAAACAGACACGCGCACACTTTGGATCGGCCTTGAAGTTGAATTTTCGGGGGAGTGTCCCAACTCCGCCCGATGTCACTCGAGTGTCGTTCATTGTCTGCTCCGCGCTGAGTGGCGACAGAGCCTGCCTCGCTCCATTCCAACCTCTCCACTCTGGTGCTTTTCTAGGCCATGCCAGGATTTCAACACGCAGAGTGCGACGCGTCATCGCCTCTTTTGCTTCGCGGCCGTCGCCCCGAACGAGTGACTGCACCGAGTTCGTCCGCGCCGAGGGCGCCCTCACCTCGTTGCCGATGACGTCGATCTTGTGCTGCACCTGGGGAACCCACTGACGCACGATGGCGAACAGCTCCGGGATGGTGGTCCGGGGGTCCGTGAGGATCTCCAGACAGGCCGGGTCATTGGGGTCGAAGAAGGTGAAGGCTGGACGCCGGAGAGAAATGCAAAGTCGACGTTATGAAGACATACAAAGAAAGAAAGAGAGGACGAGCGGGGCGGGAGTCGGAGCACTTGGCGCTTCCCGTCACTTGGCTAAGGTGGCGCGACAATGGGCATGCACTTCCGAAGTCCTTGGTGTGGCGCACCGTAGTCTTTGGGAAGGGGCGCCTGCGCAGAAGGGTGCACCATGGCTCGGCGTCGGGTCTCGTGGACCGGACTCTGGAGCGCGGACACAGACGGCGGCTCGCTCTCGTCGGGTGCGCCGTCACCTTCCCTGCCCGAGGACTCGTCTACCAGCGGCTCCCGCTGCCCCTCGTCCTCATGCTCCCCGGCGCGCTCGTCTTCATCTTGGGCTCTTTCTTCGCCCTTCTCCTCTTCCTCCTCCTCGTCCTCCTCGTCCTCCTCTTCTTCCTCCGTCAGCTCCTCATCCTCCTCTCTTTGGACCCTCCCGTCCTCCTGCTCGTCGCGGTCGTGCCTTTCCTTCTCCTGCATCTCCAGGCTCTCCTCTTTCGTCATGGCTGCGGGCCTGTTGCGCACACACAAGTCAGTGCTTGGATCATGGATGTTCAACTCGTTTTTATCGTGAGCCATGTCATCGTCCTACTTTGCCTCGGCAGAGCCATGACTGCCAATAACTTACACATGTACAATCACCAATCATCATATTACTGTACTCCCAATAGTTTGAGTGAGTAATCCGTTCCAAAATCTCTGACTAAAACCAAGTCAGATGAGCACGAAAGCAACATTTGCCATCAGAAATGATGTCAGTCCAATTCATCCCTGCCAAGGATGCTGGCCCCCGAGACTTGACCCCGAACGCAGACACCCGAAAATTATTCACGCCAATTTACAGAAAAAAATGACTCTCCAAATAGACAAATAAGGGTTTGGTGAGAGCTGCTAAAGTGGAGAAAAAAAAATGCCATTTCAATGCAGCTTTCAAACCACCAAATCCACGTGCATCGCACGAAACATGCAAGTAGACGCACTTGATTTGCTTTTGGTCCGGCACCAAAACTGATTTGGTGGGCCGGCTCTGGCCATCATGGAAAGAGACAAACAAACAGAAGAATTGCTCACTCGTGTTTCATTTTGCATTCACTTACTTGATCGTAAGTACAAAGAACACAAAGCTTAATGAGTGACAAGGGTGACGAAAGGCTTTGCTCGCTCAGCGCTTCCACAAACACGTCTTTTGTCTTCGTCCGTCACGGCTCCTCATTGGAAGTCAGCGGTGCACTTAGCAAATGGACAGCAAGCCTCGTGGAATCCAAACGGCAGCCCCTCCCTTCACAATGCAAATGTGCATCGTGTTTGCGCACAAGAAATCAGCGAGCTGTCACTTTGGAAGCAGGAAAGCTCTTGCGGCCCTCGGTGCTTTCCTTAGACCCGAAGCTGGGTCATACGACCTTAAAATGCAATCTCCAAAGGCAAACGGCACTGTTGACAATCATTCTGCTGCTATCTCAAGTTGGCCGGGCAAGTCGGAGCAAAAAAAAAAAAAGAAATAACGGCTCGTATCTCGAAACACCTCAGTCGGGTCACGCGTATCCCAAGGCATCGCTTCAAGTTCTTGTTTACACCTCAAGCTCAGCCTGCTTGCATTTTGCTCCTGATGGCAACAAAAGATCCACGATGGAGAGAAACGCGAGGAAACGGATTACAAACATACAGATGAAAAATAAGCCCACGTGCATATTATTATTATATTTTCATATGCGCATACTGTGTATATGGAGGCCGTGGCCCCCCCTCCCCCTCCTCCTTCTTTCAGCTTCCATTTTACATCCCCGGGAAACGTCGCTACAAATAAACACAAACACGCGTTGTACATCCTAGTGTGCTCTTCTCATTTTAAACCATTGGTGATTTGGCTGGCGAACAAAACATTTGTCAACGAGACGCTTTGAAGGCCAACGTGCGCAGCAAAAAAGCGCACAGCCAAAAATCAAGTGCACGCGCACGTACACGCGATCATGAGGATGGATATATGATGAGAACCGACACTGTCTTTGCAAGGTGCTTTGTGAAGCGAAAACGACGTTTTTTTTTTCCATTTGATCAAGCTTTTGTGTTCCCCATCATCGTCGTGACACTGTAACAACGCGCATCCGCGAGCACGCCGGATGCGACCACCAATCGGTGAATTTAAAGAAAAAAGATGCTTAGAAAATACAGATAAAGATTTTTTTGTTTACCTGAAAACAAGCCACTTGCTGCTAAATGTCGACGTACGATCCGCTCTCACAACAACACTGATGATGTTGAGCAGGAGGAGGAGGAGAAAGAAGAGGATGGTTGTGAATGGCAATGATCCTGGATCTCTCTCTCTCTCTCTCTCCCTCCCCTACCCCTATCGTCATCTAGTCTGAAATATACTCTGACGTTTTTAGACCAAAGGTTTTCTGTTCATTCAAACTAGCTGACATTAATTAAAAAAATAGGAGTCACTGGTGAGACGAATTTTATGACGTGCGCGCAGACATCATAATCGAGGGTCGTTTCTGCTGTTTTTATTCCACACATATGCATTAATTAAATCACACTGTCAAGCAAGAAAGGAATGAAAGGTCCCGTCATATAAATTAACATTTGATAATACAATGTATTGCCGTAATGCATAGAAAAAATAGCTCTGCAAATTTAAGAGATATGTTTGTGTAATCTATACAAGACACATTTTAGGTGGGATTGGGGGATTTTGCCCTCAACCGATATGGAAGAATTGTGACGTCATCGAAGGACATTGTCATTCTTGCTTCCGATTGGCCAGGACAGCTCGAGTACGCCCACCAGAGGCCCTCCCGCCCTCGCTGAGAGGTTATCGCTGCCCTCACTCACAAGCGCAACCAATCGGGTGCTTTTGTCCTTTAGCTCCGAGTGGAAAACGCAAAGGCACTCGCCGGCAACCGCCATCCAAAATGTCGGCTACGTGTATGTTCCCCATGTGTGTGCGAGCGAGCCGGGGCTTTCTCAGGCTTCGGAGCCGGGCGACGTCGCCCGGCACGGCGGCCGTCGTGCGCACGCTGTCTACGGGCAAACCGCCGGCCGGGCACGACGGTGCGACGAGTGGTCTGGCCCAGGCGATTCTCCAGGAGCGGCTTCAACAGCAGAGTCAGGTGAGGCGCTTCGGGTGCGCTCGAAATGCTCACCAAGTCAACGTGGGCCTGGTTGGCAAAGAGAACACGCCGCTGAACTCAAGAGCTCGGTAGCTTTGGGGATGTCAGGGTGTTGGAAATGAATTCCCGCATGGCATGTCCGACCTGTCGTTCGCTTCTGTTACGTCTGAAGATTTTTTTTTGCCCCGGAGATAAAGAGAGAGACGAGTTGGGGGCGTCCTCAACACCCGCGGACGATTAAGGACGCGTGTGGAGAAATTATTAAGTTGTAACCCCTTCGCTATGTCACCCAACGATTCAATGAACCTTCGACGAGGGAGGTTAGCTACTGCTAGCGTGCTAGCACTGTCACCAACTGCAATTCAAAGTGTTCCTGCGTGTTTAACCGCGAGAAGAGCAAACTGTAACACACACACACACACACCAGTGTTGCTGTGTGTGAAGGCAGTATCGGCTAGTGATGACAACTGGCATACAGTTAAAGTATGCGTGTGCCAATTCATCATGACTGTTGGAAGGTCCTTATAAAATGACGCACAATGCACACGCTTAAAAAAAGTCCTTGGATGTGCTGTGTTAGCACCTACATTTGATTGGCGTGAAGGTTAGCAGCACAGCAGTGCCCTCTGTCCCGTTTCTTGCGATATCTCCAGCCCTCTTCCTTAGCCCGCTCACTTGTCTTGAATAAGGAGGTCGAGTAAACTAGGACAGCACAATTCATGGAAATTCAGTCGCGATCACAACTTTGGCTGCCATGTTCAAATGAACCTGATCGTCAGCGACATTTCCATTTCAAATGCGGGCTGTGCTGCATCTCGAATCAAGCCAAGTGAAGCGTACCCTGCTGAGTCATGGCCGGAGAAGAAAGTCGAAACACATTGGAGATGGGGAGCTGCTGCTGCTGCTGCTGCTGCCTGGACGCGTGTGGATTCAGGGCAAGCGATGTTCAACTGGAGAAGAGGAGACTGATTCCGGTTGAACCCCTGTTGTAAAAGGACAATCCATTTATTTTAAAGTTTAAAACTATTTTCTTATTTGCCGTTGAAAAGTTGTGCAGGAGAGATACAGATGACACTGAACCAGGCCTATATTGATTAATCAAAGGTTATTGTTGATTCATTTGAAAATGGATTCGTTGTTGGTGTATCCACTCATTGGCATATATCAAATTTCTACCGTGTTCTCCACCGACTTTTAAATTTGTAACCACACGACGGTCCAAATAACGTCCAATTGATTTTCTTTCCGTCGTTTCATCGGGAAACGTTGCCTCGGTTTGAGAACGGGGTCACGGAACAATTTCAAATTGGAAGTCGCGGTTCCACAATAAGAGGTCAGACATGCTTCCAATGTCATTTTTAGTCCAATATTTTTACCCACTCGAGGCACCGCTGCTCGTTTGTCGGGCAGACCGACCTCCCGCTGTTGATTTCAGTGAGACCTCCTCGTCGTCAATGTCCAAACGCCAACGTGTGACCGCCACCGAATCGACTTTAAACCGCAACAGTGGTAAAGTGGACGTGTAGAATATTTTATTGACTTATTTTTTTTTAACACCCCACGTGTCGTGATGCAGGGCCAGCCTCCTCCCGCCGAGGGCGTCGAAGCCGCCGCCGAGCAGTCGGCCGGTGACAAGAAGCAGAAGGAGAACACTGCCTACGCCAAGAAAATGGTGCTGAGGTTGGCGGGCCTGATGGGCCTGGGCGGCGCCGTCAGCATCATCTACATTTTTGGTGAGCGCGCGCCTCCTCGCTGTCCGGCCTTTCTCCTGACCTCTTACATCTGTCATGTTGGCATCTTTCGAGCAGATATGCGCTCTGGGTGAAGCAAGCCTGAAATGTGGGTGTTCCCCTGTCAAAGCCGGCCACCCGCATCTTCTCTTGTTGACTTAAGGCTCGTCTCGAAAAAATCCATAGTTGTGAGTCAAATTGATGTCTGCTGCGTTCAAGAAATGAACAACAGTATGCTTGAAACGGTTTCAGCCCCAAGTACTACTCAAAAGTTGACTTCACACTTGGCCTTTAAAGAAAGAGTTTATTTTTTTGCTCCCGGCCCTGCTCGCCTGGAATTAAGGGAAGCCCGAAACTGGCGCGCTCCCGTCTTTTCCATCGGAAATGCATCACGAGCCGCGTGGCATAGATTCAATTCACGTTGAATCAAAACGTCAAATATTCCCATTGAACGGTGGGCCCGACTTGTCAGCTGTTGAATTGATCGACTTGGGCGCATGGGAAAAGAATGTCACATCTTTGTCTTTTTCCTTCATTTTCAGGGACCAATTCAGTGGACGAACAAGGCAATCGGGTAGGTTGCAAGCACACGCACAGTACGAAGTGCAAGAAAGCTTTTTGGTTCTTGTTAAACAATTGTCCGACGAACTCTTCAGGTTTTAGTGAGGATGATGATATTGCGGAATATTCTCAGACATTTTGCCTTTCAAAATGTTACGAGACGCTTTCACTTGCTCAACTTTTCTCCGTCTCCACCGAGTGGGCAAGCGCACTTTTCTGACCGGTCAAGTGCGTGCTGAAAAGTTTTTTCCTTTCATACGCTGATGGGACCCCACCCCCAACCCCCAAACCCACCCGACACGTGCAGCACACTTCTCTCGCTTTTTGTCCCACGCGGCCACGCCGGCCGGCGCGTACGTGCGACACGAGCCCCTTTGAGGCGGGCGTGACAACTTTGGCGTGACTCGACTTTTATTTGCGCCTCGGGCGGTGACGTTGGGGGAGGTGGGGGGCATCAAAGGGGCCAAATTATCCCGATCGGCCCACTTGCGGCACTTGACTTCAAAGGGCACACTTTTCACACCCACCGCGGCGCATCCTTTTGTTGCCCGAAAAGGCTTCCTGCTTGGCTTTGAAGCTACCGCCGTGTGAAACGTTTTATTCGGCCTCCCAAACACGCGCCGGGTTTCTTTCGATGGCTGCGGTACGTATTTCTGTCTTAATTTTTGAACCTCCTCTTCTGTGCTGAATGTACGAGCTGGAAATTGGAGAGATGAATCGATTGGTGGAGCTCTTTGGAACCGCGGCTCGCCCGCGAGCGTCGTCTTTTATTTTTCCTCAGCGCTCGATGTCATCGTGAAGGATGACGACGTCTCTGTCTGGCGTTTTGCTCCAAATGGGCTCTGCTCGGGCCGCGGCCATCTGTCTTTCTCCGTTCTACGCGATGGCTCTTTGCCCTAGACACCTTTTGGGAGAAAAATTGCCTCCGGCCTTGAACACTTCAGAAAAGAAAGCCCAAATGGTAATCGAGAATATTAAAAAAAAAAAAAAAAAAGGCCTTGTGATATTCCAACTTTTTACTCTGGGCAGCAAACAGGACTTTTATTTTATTCTCGTTTTATAACTTTCTTTGAAAAAAAAGACAGATTTTATTCTCATAATATCAATTCCCCCCATTTTGATTTGTCCCCCCCCACAAAAGGCTGTCAAGAGGACTTTATTTTGGGACTGTTACGACTTAAGACTGTTTTTCTTACAAAACAAAAACCGCACCAACTAAAAAAAGACCGCTTTTGTCCCAAACAAAACGGCTTTATTCTCAGAAGTCGAAAAGCCCCCTCCCCCCCACCCCTCATAATCCACACACAAAACAAAAGAAGACCCTTTCATCCAGGAGAAGATAAGGCTTCCTTGGTTCTTGTAAAATTGTGACTCAATTGCTGGGGAAATCTAAATTCTGCTTTCTTTGAAGACGACTTGAAGGAAACAACATTTTTTGTTTGTTTGTTCACAATGAGGTCCTCATCTTCCTCTGTGGCTTGTAAATTGCTGGCAAAGTTGTACTTTTGTTTGCCGTGGGCGTCCCTGATCCGGAGAGGGGGCGAGGGGATGACGACCCAATCGGATGTCGCCGTTTGGATTCCGCTCCGACGGTTCTGGACATTTGCACCCACCGAGCGGGGTCGCCGCTCTGAAGATTTCTTCGTGGACCGAGCGGGTTCAGAGGGGCACCCGCCTCCCTCCCTGCAGCCTTTTCATCTCGTTCGAGGAACTTTGATCTCATTCCGACAAACGTTGCGCCGTCCAATCGCGCGTCACACGTCGCCCGCTCGGCATCCGTGGCGGCCCAGCCCGGTCATCCTCCCATCTGCGGCCCCTTCTCAAGGTTGCTCGCTTTTTTACCCAGGTGGGCTTTTGGGAGTTTTTCCTTGGCCCCCCGAGGTGGTGAATACATGAATACCACCGTGGGCATGTCGAGCCCCTTCAGACTGTTTGGGAGGAAGGGCGGAGAGAAATCGTTGTGACTTGACTCGGCATCGGCTTTTGGTCAATGACCTCCTGCGTGCTTCTTCTTCTTTCATGTATTGGCCCATTCTGTTGCTTTCAGCTCGCAAAGCAAGGTTAGAAGGGGGACTGTCCAGAATCGCAATGAAAGCGTCAAGTAGGTGTGTTTCCATGCTCCGGAGTGCAGTCGCGGCGTCATTGGCCGGCCAGAAGGAGAACACGCTGGCGAGCGCTCCGATCCACTCCGAGCGTTGGAGCGCACGTGCTAATGAGGTGACAAGAGCTCATTCTCGCAGCGCCGTGATGCAAATGCCGCCGTGTGCCGGTCGCACCTCGGGGCTGCCGAAGCGTCGCTGATGAGAAAAGATGGGGGGTCGGGTTGCGGGAACGCGTCTCCCCCGCTCTCACCGTGCCGAGTTCGCGCCGCTTGCTGGCCGAGCGGGTATTTCAGCAAATAAAAACGCCGATCCTTAAAAGAGTCTTATGCTGGGTTGCGACCAAACGCGTGCGTTTGTTTGTTTTTTTTT